TCATACAGTCTGTCATTGAGTCAACTGGCGGGGTTTCGATTCTCTGGTTGTACGTGACAAGGAGTAGGGTCGCCTGTCCAACTTCGTGGGTTTTCTGCGGGTCCTCAGGTTTCCCCCCACTGCTAAAGACCCCTACGCGCAAGCGAATTATTGAAATAAAATTGAACCATGTGTTAGTCCTGAAATGACCTAGTTTGTGGACGAGTGGACGTTAAACCCCATTTCTCTCTCTCTCTCTCTGTTATTGAGTCAAATGGTAAGGTCTTGATCCTGAGCTTGTACCTCTCTCTTTCTCTCTCTCCTCTCACTCTCTCTCTCTCTCTCAGTACGGGCCTGGTGGTTAGCTAAGACGCCGACTTGCTAGCCTCTAGGTCGCAGGTTCGATCCTGGTGTTGGCAGACAAAGTTCGTCAGGATTTTCTGGCGTACAGTTTAGTTCCCCTTGTCAATGGTGCTGGACGGGGTGGGGGGGGGCCTAACAAGGACAGCTGTCTAGTCATTCAGCTGGGACAAAAAACAAAACAAGATCCCATGTACATATTGGCTTGCACATAAAAGATCCCTAGGCAGTTGGAATTTTATATAAGAGTACGCCGTAGCGCAGAACAGTAGAAGGTTACATTTCATTTCATTTCATTTACAATGTATTATAACTTGCTGTCTCTGTACTCAATACTTTGATGACCTTTAGAGAAGAGAAAGGCTACAGGCAATTTTATCTCGAGCAATAAACAGATAACTATAAAGATAGCCCCTCAAGTCCAAACAAAAACTTATTGATCTCCTGTATTCTTCTGTTTTCTTTTCTTTTGAAATTGTTACATGTATGTAAAAGGCATTACATGTAGTCCTACATGTACTGGTATATTTACAATGATTTCTATTTGGCTGTTTATTCATGTAAAACTCAAGTATAGTAGGCTTTCTTCATTGCATAGTCAAATTCTGTTCGATTTTCTTTAATTTTTTTTACTATATGGTAAATGTAGCTTAAAATAGAGTTATTGTTTTGTTTGTAAAATACAAAAAAGTTTATTGGATTTCTGTTTGTATGCATGTAGTTATTTGAGTTTCCTACAATTATTAAAAAACCCCAACAATATACACATGTGTACATGTAGAGTTAGATGATGTCCTTTTAAAGGTGAAGGATGTTTGTGTTTGTGCGTAGTTCATTGTTTCTTTTTTAAGTCAAGTGATTTAAAGGGACAATACATGTTATTTAAAATAAATAAGACACTTGACAATACTCTTTATTGTCGTTCAGCCAAGTGAAAATTTATAATTACAAGAATTTCTGAAAAGGATGTTTTCGTGACAAACTGTTTAAATTGAATGAACATAAACATACTGATCAGAAGTGAATATTTGCTAGTCTGCTAGGGATGACAGAGATGCAGCCTAATGAGCCCAAAATATTAACTTTTTTCCTTCTGCAAATTAAATTCTAGAACATATTTTTTAAGCATTAGAAAAATGAAGGTGTTTCAAGTATATGTAGGTAAAAATTATTTGCTATTTAGTGTAAATGAGTATGTAAAATGAGTAAAAGGCACTATTCTACCCGAACCAGTAACATCTTATGGATATGTAAACAAAGCATGCGCCATTAAGCTAATGATCGACGCCGCGTAATATGACTTAATTCATACATGAATTGTTGAAGCCTTAGGCTTTATTCGAACAAGAACAACAAGATAAGTAGCATATAGATAGAGACCAATTCTTGACCAAAAACTAAAACCCTCACTGGCATTGAACAGACAAGGCAAAAAAAACTCCCAATATTTATATCGTTATGGGTTATCGATATATACGCCCCCTGTTGTACGTGACAAGGAGTAGGGTTGCCTGTCCAACCTTGTGGGTTTTCTCCGGGTCCTGCGGTTTCCTCCCACTGCTAAAGACCCCTACGCACAAGCGAATTATTGAAATAAAATTTAAAAAACCTTTTGTAGTCCCGAAATGGCCTAGTTTGTGTCGAGTGGACTTAAACCCCATTTCTCTCTTTCTCTCTCTCTTTCTCTCTCTCTCTCTCTCTCTCTCTCCCTCTCTCCCATACATGTATATACGCTTACTTAATTTCATCTTGCTTAGAATTATGCTTTTGTAGTAAATTGTCTTTTTACTGGTAAATGTTTCTAAAATATTGTTAATTGAATTCTGGCCTGAAAATAATAATTTATATCGTTGAGTCGTATCCAGATTGGATCTCGGCCCCATGCAGATACATTTTGGGGTGTGGGAAACACTCTATAGGGTCTATTTATAGTATTACATGTCTGAGTCACGGTATATGTCACAAAAATGTACATGTACCAGTAATAGAAAAGACATGGAATACCCAATATGTGATATAAAATGCCCAGTCCGTTACATGGTAATACTGCTCATTCCCAACTTTGAACTTGAAAGTCTCCATTTAAAATTTGAAGGTCAGTAATAATTACAGTGCTTTCCAGTTAGACGTCCCTGTAGAGTTGAGTAAATTCTACTATTAGCCATTTAAAGAAGAAATAGCAATCAACTATACATGTTGTATCAAATATTGTTTTTGCCAAAATTTGAGAACAATTTGTCTTTTCCGTTTATGCTTTGTAAGAGAGGCCAAACAATGAAGTTGGACTGTACATGGTTGTTGCATAAATTTGATGTCTCTTCTGTTTGTATGTTCCAAATCATAAAAAACTGACTGATGGAATTTTCTTTTGGAGAACCAGGATATATAAGGTGAGAGAGAGAGAGAAATGGGGTTTAATGTCCACTCGTCACAAACTAGGTCATTTCGAGACTAACATATGGTTTAATTTTATTTCAATAATTCGCTTGCGCGTAGGGTTCTTTAGCAGTGGGAGGAAACTGGAGGACCCGGAGAAAACCCACGAGGTTGGACAGGCGACCCTACTCCTTGTCACGTACAACTGGGGATTCGAAACCATGCCAGTCGACTCAATGACAGACTGTATGATACAGCGCGCGCAGGCTAACCATTCAGCCATCCACACCCCCCCCCCCCCCCCCCCGATATATAAGGTTAGCATAGCATTCTTTAAATAACATTTCTGTCTATGCAATGTGAATTCGGGCATACAGTCAAAGTATGTTTTTACCATTAATTAATGGTAAATTGTTTCAGGCTAGACAAAACAACAGGTATTTTGTCAACATTATATTGCAATTTGGCTCTGTTATGGTTTCTACATGGTATTCAAACATTTATTTAGAGAACTGGAGTCAAATTAATGACATTGAATTTATGACTTTTCCATTTAGTTTGGTTGTTGTACAATGTTTGGTCATTTTTAAGAGTCCAGGGCGCTTATTCACGAAAACTTAAACTAAGATACAATCGAAATTTTAAGAAATACTGCAATTCGATTGGCTGACCAGTAAAATCAATTTGCATATATCCAATTTGCATATTGGTCGGCCAATCGAATTGCAGTATTTCTATTTCGATTGTATCTTAGTTTAAGTTTTCGTGAATAAGGGCCCAGCTTGGATATTGCATATACTTTTTCTTTAGCTATAAACCTATGGAATACAGTAAAAATTTCATTAAAAATTCATAATTACATTTCAAAATTGGTCTTTACAGTTATTTTATGAAAATAGCCCATGTGGGTTTGACATTTGTTGAGCAATAAGATTATGAAGTACAGTGCAACTGCAAAAAATCAAGGGAGTGCAGAAACTCTATCTACATGTGTTATATACAATATATACATGTACATGTAGAGTACAATGTATCTTATCTTATATGTGGAAGTTGATCCCTGCATTGGCCGAGAAAGTTCATCGTTGATTTTCCAACATGTTTTCCCCTTGTCAGTGGTGCAGGAAGAAGGGCCCGACAAGGACAGCTGTCTAGTCGTTCGGATGGGACGTAAAATGAGGTCCTGTGTATACATTGGTTTGCACGTAAAAGATCCCTTGGCAGTTGGAATTCGATATAAGAGTAGGCCACAGTGCTGCTGCCCGGGCCAAATTTCTCTCGTACAGTAGCACACTGTATGGCATATGCCCGTGTTCATTATCCCAGTCGGAGCAGAACAGTAGGACGTTAAACCCCAGTTCATTTCATTTTATATGTGGAAGTCAAGACAACATTTGTTTACAGATTGCACAGTTTAATTAAAATTATGTTAGTATTTTGTTTCAATTTATTTTTCGATTGTTTACTCCACTTCATCTTGGCCAAGATTCATGTCATTATATAGCATGTAGCATGTTTTTTAGTACACTGTATAAGTACATGTAATGTGCAGCTTGTGATTGGTTGATTCCAGATCAACCTACTAATCAGAATCTGGGATACAAACAAATTCAACAAAATCTGTTGAAAACCTTTGATTGTTGAGCCATTTGATTGGTTGTCTAATTAAGGTCAATAAATGAAAATAACATCTGATTTTGATTCGATTAAATATTTTATCAATGGTATGTCTATGATGTATTAAAAGTGTAGTTTCTCAGCACCTTTGATAAAAGAAAAAGAAAAAATAGAAATTCTCATTAAATTGTTTCAAACCCAGGGCAAATGTATCTTTAAAGTCCAGTGTAAAATTGGACTGACCTGCAAAAGGAAGAACGTTTAAAGTAGCTAACCCAATATCATCCAAAGTCTTCGACATTGAAAACACGAAATTATTTGTCAATTTAAGTCAACATTGATGTTGTGGTCTTACCGGGAAAAGATGGGCTTCTGATATCCAATATTTAAGACAAAATAAACATGGTTTTAAACCTAGGGCACACCATAAAATGTCTGAGCCAAATTTCTCTTTAAAGTTAAAGTAAAGAGTAAAATCGTACAGTCTTATAAAAGAACGAAAGTTTTAAGAGGATAATGATCAGGAAGTCACATGTCTTCCCATCTTCACGAAAGATTAGATGTATATTTAGCTCGAAACTTTTCACATAGACATTACACAATAACATGTATTCTTGACTATTTCTAATGATAGCTGACTTAGACTTAAAATATATCGTTTGTTTTCTTTCTGTCTTAGTGTTGTCACAAGACTTCAAATATTTCAAATAAAGCACACAAATACAGTTTAACAGTGGACCTACCAGTAGATGTAGGGACTGCTGGAGAATTCACCTGTTTCTAGTTTTAAGGACGATAATTAGCAGCTAATTAGTGATCTTTAAAATTTAATTTTCAGTTAGTTAATTATGTTAAAGCTATCTGTTAGTTGATAGATACATGTATATTTAACTTGAAACTGTGACCTGTATGTGTTACGAAAGGTCATTATTAAATAACAGACAAGTAGTATATATGTTGTGTTTTGTTGTGAACAGTTAACCATACACGTACTTCTAGATGCCATTTAAAGAAATGTATTTTGTATACTAAATTACGACCATAATGAAAGGATTTTGTGTTACAAGAACATCATTGTATATTTTTGTGGTACATGTATCACCTAGTGAAATCTGCAATAACTTGTGTTGGCTATGAATGATGCATGTATGTTACTAGTTGGGTTCCTGCTGTTTCAATAATTGCCTCTGATGTAAACTGTCTTAAAGGATGTACTCATAGGAAATGGATTGTGTAGTTTCTATGTACGGATACGGAAATGTACACTGTATCAGTATTTCAGTTTGTTTCAAATGGAATTATTGTTGTGTTGTATAGATTGACCATATTTCATAAATTGGTGCCAGTAATTAATTTATAAATATTGTAGAACAATTAAAACGATTTTAAAGTTTAAGAAAGTGTGTTAAAGTGCCTTTAATATAATATTCTGGACACGAATATGCATCATGAAGATGAGGTGAGTTTCAAAACCAGTAAGAGGAGATATACATAAACATATAATACTAGAATACTTACTGGCGGTAGGTATACAGTCACTATAGTTTGTTACACTGCAGACAAGGAGTAGGGTCATCTGTCCAACCTTGTGGGATATTTGGACAATAATTAGAGTTACAAAGAGAGTGATTCTTTTCATTCACAGGGAAGAGATTTAAAGTTTAAAACATCAGAACTTCATTATAAAAATCAGAGTTGCACAATTACATATTTCCGAATTGTTATAGTTACTAGTACATGGATCATACTATTGTTGTTACTAGTACTATGTTTTTGTAGTAACTAGTACGATATTATTGTAGATACTAGTACAATATTATTGTAGTAACTAGTATGATATTATTGTAGTTACTAGTATGATATTATTGTAGTTACTAGTACAGCATTATTGTTGTTACTAGTATGATAGTATTGTAGTTACTAGAACGATATTATTGTAGTTACTAAAACGATATTATTGTAGTAACTAGTACGATATTATTGTAGTAACTAGTACGATATTATTGTAGTTACTAGTACGATAGTATTGTAGTTACTAGAACGATATTATTGTAGTTACTAGTACGGCATTATTGTTGTTTCTAAAACGATATTATTGTAGTTAATAGTATGGTATTATTATGTATTTCAGCGTGCGAGAGCCAGTACTATAACTCCAGGTGCTAAGACTGCCCAGACTACCTACAGTCATGGCCCACGTTTACTACCAACAGTGTTTAAATGGGAAGGTGGGGGAAAAGATGTGTATATCTGTGGTAGTTTCAATAATTGGAAGTCAAAAATACCCCTAGTAAAAAGGTGAGTATGGGAATGTACATGTACAAGAAAGGATACATACACTATAACCTGGGTATCAGTTAATCTTGTGTATTTAGCTCTAATTTCTTTCACATTCGTTTAATATCAAATCTTTCTTTAAAATTTCATAAAAATCGTTTGAAATCACCTAAAATCATCTAATTATCAATATTTCCAACCAAAATGTATTGTACATGTGTTGTACACTGCAACCCGGGTATCATTTAATATTGTTTAGCACTAATTTCTTTCACATTCATTCAATATCAAATCTTCGTTTAAAAACGCGTAAAAATTGTTTAAAATCACCAAAAATAATCTAATTTGTACTTGTGTGCAGTTTAAAGCTAACCATTCAATTTCTATAATGAGTATCCAATTTACAAGCGTTTGAGTTCTTGATCACTGTTTAAAAAAATAAACCGAATTGATTATTGATGTATAATCATCAAATGATATAATTTTTGAACAGTGGTCAGGAAATTGAATACTTGTAAATTGGACACTCATTATCAAAATTAATCAGTCAGCCTTAAACTGGCCACAAGTACAAATAAGATGATTTTGGGTGATTTTAAATGATTTTTGGGAATTTTCTAAAGAAAGATTTGATATTGAATGAATGTGAAAGAAATTAGTGCTAAATACACAAGATTAAATGATACCAGGGTTACAGTGATAACACATGTACAGTACAGTACATCCATTTTAGTTGGAAATATTGATAATTTTAATAAAATGTAATTGAAAAGTAATTGACCATTTCAATTACTCATTACTTTTGAAATGTGCCATTATTCATTTCATGTATATGACGTGACAAGGAATTTGGTCGCCTGTCCAACCTTGTGTGTTTTCTCCAGGTCTGTCAGTTTTGTCCCCCTGCTAAAGACCCCTACGTGCAAGTGAATTATTGAAATAAAATTGAACTATATGTTAGTCACAAAATGACCTAGTTTTTCTCTTTCATTATATGATCATTACAGTACTTCAAGACATAATGATTAGGTTCCATTACCTACATGTATTACCATTACCCCAGCCCAGACAGCTAAATGTTCATGCAATTAAGCTATATGTAGGTAGAAGCACATGTGTTTGCCATCTGGTTTTAGTCTTTTTGTAAATTGAGATATATGTACATGCGCGTATGCAAATGTACCGGTAATAGAATAAAATTAAACTAATTCTGCTCCAATCAATTGCGATTTCATACAAGCAAACATTTGATGTTTTTAGCTCATTTGATACATGTACATGTACCCTCAAGTCAAATTAAATGACTCAGATCAGAATTTATTTGAAATTGAATTTACCGTTTATTTTAATGAATACATCATATGTAACTCACTCCAGTAGAGACTTATACTGTAAGGCCACTTAAAGCTAATATACTGGTTTAAAACATAACTTATAGTATTATATTATATAAGGCCATATAAAACTAATATTCTGGTTCGAAAGATAACTTATAATATTATATAAGGGCATATAAAACTAATATTCTGGTTCGAAACATAACTTATAGTATTATATAAGGCCATATAAAACTAATGTACTGGTGCTCAGCTAACTTATAGTATTGTAAGGCCATATAAAACTAATATACTGGTGCTCAGCTAACTTATAGTATTGTAAGGCCATATAAAACTAATATTCTGGTTCTCAGCTAACTTATAGTATTGTAAGGCCATATAAAGGTAATATTCTGGTGCTCAGCTAACTTATAGTATTGTAAGGCCATATAAAGGTAATATTCTGGTTCTCAGCTAACTTATAGTATTGTAAGGCCATATAAAGGTAATATACTGGTGCTCAGCTAACTTATAGTATTGTAAGGTCATATAAAGGTAATATTTTGGTGCTCAGCTAACTTATACATGTAGTATTATATAAGGCCATGTAAAAGTAATATTCTGGTGCTCCTCTAACTTATAGTATTGTAAGGCCATATAAAACTAATATTCCGGTTCTCAGCTAACTTATAGTATTGTAAGGCCATATAAAACTAATATTCTGGTGCTCAGCTAACTTATAGTATTGTAAGGTCATATAAAGGTAATATTTTGGTGCTCAGCTAACTTATAGTATTGTAAGGCCATATAAAACTAATATTCTGGTTCTCAGCTAACTTATAGTATTGTAAGGCCATATAAAACTAATATTCTGGTTCTCAGCTAACTTATAGTATTGTAAGGCCATATAAAACTAATATTCTGGTTCTCAGCTAACTTATAGTATACTTATAGTATTGTAAGGCCATATAAAACTAATATTCTGGTTCTCAGCTAACTTATAGTATTGTAAGGCCATATAAAACTAATATTCTGGTTCTCAGCTAACTTATAGTATTGTAAGGCCATATAAAGGTAATATACTGGTGCTCAGCTAACTTATAGTATTATAAGGCCATATAATATAAAGGTAATATTCTGGTTCCCAGATACCTTATACATGTAGTATTATATAAGGCCATGTAAAAGTAATATTCTGGTGCTATTCTAACTTATAGTATTGTAAGGCCATATAAAACTAATATTCTGGTTCTAAGATAACTTATAGTATTATAAGGCCATATAAAGGTAATATTCTGGTTCTCAGCTAACTTATAGTATTGTAAGGCCATATAAAGGTAATATACTGGTGCTCAGCTAACTTATAGTATTATAAGGCCATATAATATAAAGGTAATATTCTGGTTCCCAGATACCTTATACATGTAGTATTATATAAGGCCATGTAAAAGTAATATTCTGGTGCTCCTCTAACTTATAGTATTGTAAGGCCATATAAAACTAATATTCCGGTTCTAAGATAACTTATAGTATTATAAGGCCATATAAAGCTAATATTCTGGTTCTAAGATACCTTATGATATTATAAGGCCATATAAAGCTAATATTCTGGTTCTAAGATACCTTATGATATTATAAGGTCATATAAAACTAATATTCTGGTTCTCAGCTAACTAATGTTCTGGTTCTCAGATAACTTATAGTATTTTAAGGCCATATAAAGCTAATATTCTGGTTCTAAGATACCTTATGATATTATAAGGTCATATAAAACTAATATTCTGGTTCTCAGCTAACTAATGTTCTGGTTCTCAGATAACTTATAGTATTATAAGGTCATATAAAACTAATATTCGGTTCTCAGATAACTTATAGTATTATAAGGTAACTTATAGTGTTAAAAGGCCATATAGATAATATTCTGGTTCTCAGATAACTTATACTGCAAGGCCACTTAAAGCTAATATTCCGGGTTCTAAGATAACTTATCGTATTATAAGGCTATATAAAGGTAATAATCTGGATCACAGATACCTTATGATGTTATAAGGCCACAATAATAAAGGCAATATTCAGGTTCTCAGATAATCATGTGCTTAAAAAGGGATGCATGACCTTTTTTTGTTAATTTCAAAACATGAAAAATAAAGAAAATCTCATTAATTGTCTTGATTATATATGTATGTATTTAGGAAGTAGGTCTAAAGAATAATTAAATAAAACCAGATGTAGCCTCATTTATCAAGCACACAACCCACATAAATGTTAATTAGAAACATAAATGATACTGGATAATCATACATTTATATAAACTGTAACAGGATGATGAGATACAATATACATGTATACAATGTATATGTAGTGCCTTGAAATGTGATGTTTATGAAAAGTCATTTAACCCAGTAGTGATCGTTTGACAAAATAAAAACACAAAAATAAAAACCTCCTCGATTCCCGCATCAGATTTTTGTAAGATTGTCTGAGAATATTATTAATTTGTTTGTACATGTATGGTCTAATACTAGAGGGGGGGTGGATGGCCGAATGGTTAGCACGTGCGCGCTGTATCATAAGGCCTTTCATTGAGTCAACTGGCGTGGTTTTGAATCCCTGGTTGTACGTGACAACCTCGTGGGTTTTCTCCGGGTCATCCGGTTTCCTCCCACTGCTAAAGACCCCTACGCCCTAGCGAATTATTGAAATAAAATTAAACCATATGTTAGTCCCCAAATGACCTAGTCTGTGTCTAGTGGACGTTAAAACCTATTTCTCTTTCTCTCTCCCCTAATACTGGAAGGTTTTATTCATGATGTTTCAATACTTGTACGCTTACTGTTCAGCTGTCATATTATCTTACTGAAATACATGTACATGCAGTGTACCGTTTATTTAATTATTTCCCTTTTATGATATTAGAATGGGTTGGTGGAGTGGTCTAACATGTGTGTCTTAGATCTTAAGATCTATCCTTGAGTAAAGGGGTGTGGTTTCGAGCCCAACCTCATGTATTTTCTATTATTTAAATAAAACAGTACAATGTTAGTCCAAAAATGACCTAGTTTGTGTTTAGTGGACGTTCAACTACATTCCTCTCTCTTTTTATTATATTAAAAACACAACGCTAAAACAAACCTGTCAATTGTAAGCGTACAGCCCCTTTCCTGTAATAATGCACTCAAAAAAATAAAAATATTTACAAGAAAGATACATGTACATGTATAATGCAACCGATCTTCTGAATAGCAATAGCCTGCCAGTTAAAATTTAACAAAATTAAGAGTGATATTCCGGATAGAATTTTGGAAAATGACAGAAATTAATAAAGTAGTAACAGTATATTCTGTCCTAAAGACAACTGATAAATGATTTAAATGAATATTTTTGATATTTCAGTCAGGGTGATTTTTATACTATAGTAGATTTACCTGAAGGTGAACATGAATATAAATTTTATATAGATGGTAATTGGGTGAAAGATCCTAGTGAGGTAAGCAATTCTTATTAATCCCGCCCAACTATTACAATTTTTATGTCCTTTTTAGGTTTGGTTGGATGGGCGAATGGTTAGCTCGTTCGCGCTGTAGTTTGCGATGAGTGGACGTTAAACTCTATCTCCCTATTCTACAGTATACAGGGGTATGGATAATGGTCTAACATTTGCTCTTTGGATCATAAGGTCTATCATTGAGTCTAAAGGCGTGGTTTGGTTTAGATCCCAAGGTCCTTCATTGAGTCAAGTGGTTTGGTTTAGATCCCTTGATCTTTCATTCAGTCAAGTGGTGTTGTTTTAGAACCCAAGGTCTGTCATTGAGTCCAGTGGTGTTGTTTTAGATCCCAAGGTCAGTCATTGAGTCAAGTGGCTTATTTTAAATCCTAAGGTCTGTCATTGAGTCCAGGGGTGTGGTTTAGAGCCCAAGGTCTGACAATGACTCAATTGGTGTGGTTTAGATCCCACACTTATACATGACAAGGGAGTAGGGTCTCCTGCATAACCTCGTGGGTTTTCTCCAGGTCCTCTAGTTTCTTCCCACTGCTAAAGAACCCTACACCCAAGTGTATTATTAAAATTCCCGAAATAACCCAGTGTGTTGAGTGGACATTAAACCCAATTTTTCTCTCTCCTATACGATACATTGTTGAGCAATGGAAATTTAAAAGCATGCATGTTATTAATTACCTTAAGTAGTTTACGATACATGTACAGGAGATACAGGTTTGCCCTCGGTATTGGCCATGAAAGTTTCTCAAGATTTTTCAAGTGGTTTCATCTTGTCAGTTGTGCAAGATGGAGGATGGGACGAAAAGCTTAGGTCCTGTATACACCTGGGTATGGGAGCCACGTGTCTCAGTGAGTAGGATGTTAGCTTGCTACACTGGAGGTTCCATGTTCGATCCCTGCATTGACCTGAGAAAGTTCATCGGGATATTCAGGCGTGGTTCCCCCTTGTCAGTGATGTAGGCAGGGGACAACGTATATTGTAGCACAAATTAGAAATTTCCTCGATTCTGATTGGTCGAAAAGTGTGGTCGAATGGACAATAAACCCCCTCTAAATTATCAAGGCAAATTACTGCGTATAAATATAACAGTGTACTTTTTTTCATTTTTGTGCTCAATGATCTTCCTCAACTCAAATCTTTATTGGCAAATATCTTTAAGGAATTCTGCACACATGACTATCACACCATTTTCAAACATCATCTTTTATGAAATAACATTTCTGAAATACATAAAACAGTAGAAAATCAGTCATAAATTAAATAAAACCGTTTTCTGGTATCCAAATATATTCGTAACTAGGCAGTAACAGTGTCAGTAGGCCTATGTTTTCTTTTTTGGTAGGCGAGCTTCACTCACCAATTTTTATTAATCAGGTGGTGGATTTTTTTTTTAAAAATCATGCTTTCAAAGTCTGACTTACATGATCTACCTAATAAGTCATTAGTCACAAGGAATCGCTTGAGAATACAATGAGGGAGTCGAATATAGCAGCTGATTGCCAAAATTGTCATTTGTTGACAACACGTCAAAACAGCTACATAGCAACCACTGGCATCTTAGACTAGACATCATTGTTATGGTTTATATGTTTTTTTAGAGGATGGAAGTATGAACTTCAATTTTGTAAAGAAGAACTAGATACAACATTGTGATAACAGTCTGCAAAATAAAATAATAAAGGCTGGAAACTTACATGAAACTCCCGAAGCGAAGTCATTTTTGTTGCCAAGAGTTACTCCTCTTTTAGTCTCGGATAGCAGGGCAGAATTATTTCAATCGCGTTGACACTCGTCTCGAAATACCGCAATAATACTAATTTCTTATTCTTTTAAAAATCTTCCAACGTTAAAAATATTTTTTGTTGTCGATATCCGAATAACATTTTCTTTCATAATTCATTTACCAGCAACTCGAGACTCAAACATTTTAAATTTGCAGGTAAGCAAAAGAGGCCGTCTATAATCTATTGAAAATATTTTGAAAAATGAACGCGAGTGCGTGACCAAATAACGACTTTTTAAAATGAGTGTAAAAATGTTTCCTAAATAGTTCCGAAGAAAATCTCCAAATATTTGTGCTACAATATCGATAAACACGTTCCTGTTACGTATTTATCGGGTGTTTATTGTCCATTTAACCATGCTTGAATTATCCATTAGAACAACTCGATGCTATCGCGTCTTGTGTTCTAATGATTCAAGCATGGTTAAATGGACAATAAACCCCCTCTAAATACGTAACAGGAAGTGTTTATCTCCTAAGTCTTTCGAATGAGATTAAAAACCGAGGTTTGGTGTACTCATTGGCGTGCAGTGACGGCACGTAAAAGAACCCTTAACAATTGAAATTCGAAATAAGAGTATGCCATAGCGCCGCCATCCAGGAAAAAATTCCCTCGTTGCACACTGCATGGCATATGCCCGTCTTCATTAGTCCAGTAGGATCAGAACATTTCATTTCAAACCTTGGTGTGGACATAAAATAACCCAAGACTTTTCGAATTTGAAATAAGAGTATGCCATAGCGCTGCCGTCCTGGAAAATTTCCCTTGTAGTACACGGCATGGCATATGCCCGTCTTTATTAGTCCACCTTTATTAGTGCACCTTGGTGTGCAAAGAAAAGAACCCAAGACTTTTTGATTTTGAAATAAGAGTAGGCTGTGTTGTTGCTGCCTGGGCAAAATTTCCTTCATAGTACACAGCATGGCATATGCCTGTCTTCATTAGCCCAGTAGGATCAGAACATTTCATTGCATTTCACACCTTGGTGTGGACATTAAATAACCCAAGACTTTTCGAATTTGAAATAAGAGTAGACTGTGTTGTTGCTGCCTGGGCAAAATTTCCTTCCTGTCTTCATTAACCCAATTGGTGCATAAAAGTGGGACATTAAACCCCATTTTATTTTGTGGGACGCACATTTTATTTCAGGAGTTGCTTCACTTTTTTATACGCTCACATTTAAATGTGGTCGTATATTGTCGTCGGTCCGGCGTCCACAATTGCTTGTGGACGCTCTAGAGGCTAAAGTTAATATCCGATTGACTTTAAATTTATACACAGTATTTAAGGTCTTGAGACGAAGAATCCTATTGATTTTCAGCAATTTCCGATAATTACTGCCAGAGTTATGGCCCTTGATCACTTTGAAAAATCTTGTGGACGCTCTAGAGGCCAAAGTTAATATCCGATTGACTTTAAATTTATGCACAGTGTTTAAGGTCATGAGACAAAGAAGCCTATTGATTTTCCGCGATTTCTAATAATTACGGCCAAAGTTATGGCCCTTGATCACTTCAGAAAATCTTGTGGACGCTCTAGAGGTCAAAGTTAATATCCGATTGACTTTAAATTTATACACAGTGTTTAAGGTCATGAGACGAAGAATCCTATTGATTTTTAGTGATTTCTGATATTTACTGCCAGAGTTATGTCCCTTGATCACTTTGAAAAATCTTGTGGACGCTCTAGAGGCCAAAGTTAATATCCGATTGACTTTAAATTTATAATCAGATTTTAGTGTATTATAAATGTTTCATTACCGAAAATTAAAAATATGCGACAACTCTTGTTGACTGCCCGGAGGATTTAGCTGCTGTGGGCGTATGTTTCGTGGGCTGGCAACCTATCTTTATGTTTTATATTTGAGCAATTTGATTAATTAATTGCATGAACCTTCCTTTGTTCACTTTCAGCCAACAAAAAGTAATCAATTAGGTACTGAAAATAATATTGTACGAGTTAGAAATACAGATTTTGAAGTTTTTGAAGCACTTGCTATCGATAGCAGGAACACCCATTCTAGTAAAAAACAAGGTAAGTCTAATGAACTAGAGTTAAACACTGTATTTGTATCTCTATTTATAAATCGAGAGGCGGGGGCTTGTGTCGTGTTGACGTTAAAACCCATTTCTGTCTCTATCTCTGTCATTACATGTACAGCACGCATTCAAAAAGTTGCAAGATAAAGACATATTGCAATAGGGATTACAATAGTAAGATTAAGAATTAATTCATTAGTGGTTCCCAAGCTTCATTCAAGCTTATAGTAGCAGTTGTTTCTCGAAATGTAAGGTGATATCGACGTGATTAGTAGTTAACAATCATGGCAAAAATATAACACTAGCAGTGTAGTTATGGCAGGATACATTACACTGCACTCACGTTTTTTTAAAATCAATCTCGTCCATTGTCAGCAATACATGTACATGTACCTTACAAAATCAACGACGTTTTCGTTCAATCACAGTCACACCATGGCGCGTTGAAAGATTGATGTCGCATTCACAAGTACCTGTATCAGCTGACAAGTAGTGTTGCTATCTATGCTTCTCAGCTTACAGTTCACTAATTTTTAATCGTCTATTCAAGATTGAAATAATTCATTGTATGAATTGCGTCTACCATCGGGTCTGGTTGGCTACCAACTTTCAATGACAAATTAGAAACACTGACTGTATTGTACTTTAGCAAGTGAGAGGGAGCCATGGTGGCTCAGTTGGTTTGATTGCAGTGGTGGTCGAGAAAGTACCTCAGGATTTTCCTGTTTGGTTTCTCCTTGTCATTGGTGCAGGACGGAGGCCTGGCAAGAAGCAGTGTTTGAATTCGAATGGAATGAAAAACGGAGGGCCTGTGTACACATTGGCACGGACATAAAAGAAACCTTGACAGTTTGAATTTGAAATAAGTGTAAGCTGCAGTGCCGGTGTCCAGGCAAAATCATCTCATAGCATACTGCGTGGTGCATGCCTGACTTTATTAGTCCAGGCCCCAAGTTCACAAAGCATTCTCAGACTTAAGTTGAGAATTTACTCAATTTTCAATCACAGTTTATAAGGAATATCTTTCATCCAGAAACACAAAACTTTGCACATAGTTTCTTATTGATGTATTTGATACATTAAAGCAACAAAAATTTTATAAAGGGCTAAAATAATTGAGAACAATTTTGAGTAAATTCTTAACTTAAGTCTGAGAATGCTTTGTGAACTCGAGGCCAGGTTGGAACAGAAAACCAGGACATTAAATCCAATTTCATTATGAATGTTGTGTCTTTCCTTTCAGAATCAAATGAAGGCGGTTCCCCTCCTGGTGATTACTCACAGATAATACCCGTAAAACAAACTGGTGGAAAACATACTGGTCCTCCATTCTTACCACCTCAATTACTACAAATCATTCTCAATAAAGATACACCAGCACACGTAAGTTACTATTTTAAGTACTGGTACAAATCATTCTCAATAACGATACTTACCACCTCAATTACTATAAGTCATTCTCAATAAAGACACACCAGCACACGTAAGTTACTATTTTAAGTACTGGTACAAATCATTCTAAAAAAACACACTTACCACCTCAAGTACCAGTTCAAATCATTCTCAATAAAGACAGGGGGGTTGGATGGCTGAATGGTTAGCGTGCGCGCGCTGTATCATAAAGTCTGTCATTGAGTCGACTGGCGTGGTTTTGAATCCCCGGTTGTACGTGGCAAGGAGTAGGGTTGCCTGTCCAACCTCGTGGGTTTTCTCCGGGTCCTCCGGTTTCCTCCCACTGCTAAAGACCCCAACGCGCAAACGAATTATGTAAATAAAATTAAACCATATGTTAGTGCTGAAATGACCTAGTTTGTGTCGAGTGGACGTTAAACCCCATTTCTCTCTCTCTCTCTCAATAAAGACACACCAGCACACGTAAGTTACCACCTCAATTACTACAAATCATTCTCATTAAAGACAGTATCCATCTAGATTATCGGTCCTCTTATCGGCAGTCTCCTCCTTGTTGTCTTATCCATTCAATACCTAAGCCATCCGGTGATCTAGAGAGTCCATCTTAAGCCACAAAATGTACCACAATAGACAAAATTAGCTCTCACTTTATGTATATTTTCACACAATTTGAATTTGAATTTAAATGGCCAATTAAGATGCCGTCTCTGTCAGTCATTGTTTGTTATTGAGTGTTGGCTCAGTGAGTAAGGCGCTGGCTTGCTAATCAGATGGTTTTGAGATAGCTCCCAATATTGACCGAGAGTTCCTCTTGAAAGATTGTAATGGCTGGAGTTCTTTAAGTGTTTGCTGTTATTTTCTGTTATTTTTTTTTTTCAGGTGGAGCCATCTTTATTACCAGAGCCTAATCATGTCATGTTGAATCATTTGTATGCCTTGTCTATAAAGGTAAGTTAAACAGATAGTTCTTGTCTAAAAAGGTAAAAATAGGCCTTGTCTATAGAGGTAAGTTACACAGATAGGCCTTGTCTATAGAGGTAAGTTCAATGTATTGCCTAATGGTAATTAAATGCATTGATAGAATCATTACATTCCGGATGGGCGGAAGAATTGAGGTCCTGTGTAAATGTTGGCGTGCACGTTAAAGAACCTTTGACTGTTGGAATTCGAGATAAAGAGTAGGCAGTCCGAGCAAAATTCCCTCATAGCTCACTGTGTGGTGAAAGTTTCATCTCCATTAACCCAGTCGGAGCAGACAAATAGGGCATTAGACCCATTTTTATTCAGTCATTTTACAACACCTCTTTATATATTACATGGGATCCACGGTGGCTAAGGGGGTAAGACGCTGGCTCACTAGCCTGGAGGTCGCATGTTCGAGAAAGTTAATTGGGATTTTCTGACGTAATTACCCCTTGTCAGTGGTGCAGGACAAAAAACCGAGGTCCTCTGTATACATTGGCTTGGTCGTAAAACATCCCTTGGCAGTTGGAATTCGATATAAGAGTAGGCCATTTTGCCACTGCCTGGGCAAAAATTTCCCTCATAGCACACTGTATGGCATATATGCCTGTCTTTATTAGCCCAGTCGGAGCAGAACAGTAGGACGATAAACCCCATTTCATTTCATTTTCATTTATTATTTATTCTCGTCTGTTTCAGGATGGCGTCATGGTTTTAAGTGCTACTCACAGATTTAGAAAAAAATATGTGACAACCCTACTTTATAAACCTATCTAGCGCCTCATCTATTATAGTCTTATTTTAAAAAAAAAAATAATAAAAAATTAAATGTGGAAGTACACTCTGAGGATATCAGTCAAAATTTCTCCATTTTTAATATATTCATTCAAAAATAAAAAAAACGCTAAAAGTTTAAAAAATCTCACAACATTTTTGATATATTCACTCCTTTAAAAAGAAAAAAAACAATAAAAATTTGAAGAAACTTGGACTTGGCAAATTTTATCCACTTAGGTTCGGATTTGTTTATCAAAAGTCAGGCATGATGAAATAATTGTTTGAGGATTTTAATTGATATTCTTAGAGTTTAATGATACAAAGTACGGAAGAGAAATACGATGAAAGAATGATTGTGTGTGTAAATGTAATTGGTTTCATCTCTCGGATATTTTGTAAAACAAAAACTTTTAAAAAAAAATTAATCTCAGTTTTTAATTAGATTGGACAAAGTCCGTATTTTGAAATAAGTTTCTATTCTAAATGTTGTAATTGATGTATGTCTTTGACTAAAATTTTCAGGTCATGTTGTGAAGAATTTTTTTTTTTTGTAGTTTATGCTAGATAGATTTGAAGTTGACTAGGAGACTGGTTTTAGTTTAGTATTGGGGTTGTATGGTTCCATGTGGGGGTTCTCCATTTTGATAAATTGGGATGGAAAGTGGTAGCGGGGGTGGGGGCTCCTCACTGATGTTATGGAAATGGCACACCTTGATGACAATATTTGATTTTTGGACCAGGATCTGGACCCCAATCGCCACGCATCTTGTTATCCCTAGGAGGGGGTGGTCGATTGTTTAACGCGTGTGTGTTAGATCATAAGGTCTGTCATTGAGTCAAGTGGTGTAGTTTCGATTCCCCGCTTGTATATGCCAAGGAGTAGAGTCGTCTGTACATCCTCATGGGTTTTTTCCGGGTCCCCCGGTTTTCCCCCACAGCGAATTATTGAAATAAAATTGAACCATATGTTAGTCCCGAAATGACCTAGTTTGTGTCAAGTGGATGTTAAACCCCATTTCTCTCTCTCTGTTCTTCATAGGGGCAACGCTCTTTGAAAAAAGCCTATGGTTCTGCAAATTCAAGTCCAATCGACATGAAAATTGCAATGGTTGTTCCTTGGACAATTGGGCATGGATTGAAACACTACGATTTTTGATATGACGACACAATTCCAAGATGGCTTGATGAAGTTATTCTTGGTTCTTGGTACATTGTAACGCTCATTCTGTTGAATTTTTATTCAGAGGGTTTCTCAGGCATGACAGCAGATCAGCTGCTGATAAATTGTATTTAGTGGTCCATGTCCAATTTCAGAACACGATTTAACCTTGATATAGATGAAATCAGTGAACCCACAATATTCAAACTATACGACCTGTATTGAGCCTCTAGTGTATTGTAACTTGTAACTACCTTTAGAAAATTTTTTCTTATCATTTATAAGATTTCTTTGTTGTTCAAGAATATAATGATATTATTTTTTTGCCATTTTGTAACAAAACCGCTTTCTAAACCTATGGTTGTTTGTGATTTAATCATGAATGACAATTGTATATTCGACTTCATACGGAATGAAGTGCGTAGACCTAAATGTTTAAGATGTAAAGATTGTTTTTGGTCGAATAGTATAACAATACTCTCTGCCCTTGTGGTAAAACAAGACTAGATGATCATTAGTCAAGTTTGTAGACCAATGGAGTTTTCAGTTCAGGCTGTGGATCATCAAGTCCCTTTCTATCAAGAAGGCAAAGACCACTTTACACCTCCAATTTCTTTCCTGTTGTATAATCTCAGAAATTTGTAACCTGAGAATTGGTGATGACCAGGCCTGGAATGAAGGGACTTATTGAAGACATTTTCAGGCATAATATGGAGGGGGTTGGGATGACCTAGTGTTTAGAGTGTCACGCTTCGAGCTCTAGGCTGTCTGGTCACCTCTGGCTAATGGTCGTGGTTTCGATACCAGATGTGAGCTTATGTGACTTGGGTTTACTCCGGTTTTCTCCCACTGGAAAGATAATGAAAAAAAGACAATTTGTCTGCGATATTGTCCTCGGTGGAAGCAGACATTAAACACTAATACAAGAAGAGACATAATTCCTCTGGTGCCTGTCATTTACTCTGGCACAGAATCGTTGTTTTTTCTGTCTGGAACAAAGTTCAAAATGTCAGGTACTGATTCACTGTCATTCTCAATAACCCCAATGGTATCGTTCTGTTCAACACCACTAACCCCTGCTGGATCCATCAACAGGGTTTTCACGAATTCAAATTATCTGCCCTTGATATTAGCTTGATTCTTCGAACCTATCAAAAAACATTTTGCATACCAGTCTTAGTGCGATTGTTTAAGTTCACCATATCTTAGTTACAATAAAATGCGAGTTACTTCCCTTCGCCCACTTGATTGGTCGATAAAAATAGAAGTATCAGGGGCAGATAATTTGATTGTTGACCCAGAGGTTAGTGATGATGTAGAATGGAAGATACCACTGGGGATACGGAGAGTAGTTCACTGCCGGTTGGGCAAAACTAAACTCGATTCTTCTGGGCTGGTGATGATCAAGTAACTTAGTTAATATTTGAAATATTACAAGTCGTTGGATTTTTTTTTTTTTGATAAGTGTCTGAAAGTTGATATCACTGAAGCACCATAAGCTGAAATATTGGATTAGGGTTTTTTTTGATAGTGTCAGAAAGTTTATATCACTGAAGCACCAGAAGCAGAAATACTAAGACTGTTCAATTTTTACTTTACAATTGCCAAATGTAGTTAATAATAGTAGAAAGTCATTAGGAGGAATAAATATGTTTTTATTAAGTGTATCTTCATATAATTCTGATTAATCTTGATTGAAATTTGGTAGAAATGATTGAAATTTATTTAAAATTGTTTGATATGACTGAAATTATGATTGAAATGATTCAAATTTGATTGAAATGCTTCAAATTTGATTGAGATGCTTTGATATGATTGAAATTTGATAGAAATGATTGAAATTTGATAGAAATGATTAAAATTTGATCAAAATGTTTTTAAATTTGATAAATATGTTTCAAATTTGATAAATATGTTTCAAATTTGATAAATATGTTTCAAATTTGATTGAAATTTGATAGAAAGAATTGTAATTATGCATATTTGATATGATTGTATCTTCCGTCTTGATTTCAATTTGAAAGTACAAGTAATTTATGGATAATTCATCAATGAAATTAGGACGTTCGATTTTCTGTTTATTTTCCAAATTTAACAAATAGCATGTGATAAGTGTTTTTTAATTTCAGATAATTATCTAAATTGCGATTGACATTATTTGTTTGAACTTTTTAAATATTTGTTAAATGTTGGATGTTTAAAATATAAAATATAGTGCTATTATAATTAATTCTCATAAAAATAAAACAATAATGAGTTCTCACCATTTATTTCATCTCATAAAACAATAATATAAATGACTTCTGGATGTGATGAAAGTTGATGTGGGAGACTTGATATCTTTCTAAGTTTAGCATTATCTGTTCATAAAACCCTAAATGATAATAATAATGAGGATGGCCGAGATTTTAATGGATTAGAACACCGTCAAGATTTAAAACTTTAACGATAAAATGGACAATCAAGACTACATCTTGATTGTCAAGTACCATTGCTAAGATAAACAATCTTCGCTACATTTTCAAACAATTTTCAAAATAATTTAAATAAAACTTTCAATATATTCCTTTTTCATTATCAATTTTTGAACTATTATAGCAAGAGCTGACACTTCTTTATCTAACTCTTACATAATGCATCTTTGATATAATGTACTTTGAAAGATACCAAGCCAGGAGTTGAAGAAATGTTCGCTTTAAATTTGTGCTAGTTAGTAAGCTATTAACGCTGTCAAAATATAGTTTATGAAAGAAATTGTGTGTAATAATTTGAAAACTATGTAAATATTGTAAAATATTGTTTATAATCTATATATACTAGTGGAATGTGTTTTGTATAGAATTGATCATACTTAATGTCTCTTGTCATAATACTACAGCTAAAATATCATCATATTTATTATAATGTACCTACGTATAAAAACATGTAGGTATCTAAAAATGGAGTAGGTCAATATCAATGGGTTGTTTTCGTGCTGGTTGAGGTAGAGGTCATTTCAACGTGTGAAATGTATCATTCCCCCCTAACACCATGTGGTGTCTTACCTGGGCATGGGAGCAGGCCAATATAAATGGGTTCTTGGTTAGAGTTACCTTCCCCTAGTCAAAACCTTTTCAACTAAACCCTGTGTTGTCTTTAACTCAGGGTAAAACAATATCAGTGGGTTGTTTACTTTCAGCCTGGTTGGCATGGAGATCGTGCGGGTTACAGAGATAAGATTGGTTTGGGGAGGGGTAGAAGCGATCATAGCAGTTAGGGAGGTCATTTAATCGATTTTCATGTGGTGTCCAACTCCGCATGTTGGAATCTCTAACCTGCCCAACCCGTCTGAAAATAAACTCTCCCGTGGCAGGGCTCTTATTTGGATGATTTAGAGTTGTCAGTATCTGACTTGCATTAACATTGTCCAGCCAATACATCTACCCATTATCAGTCAATTTGCATCTAATAGTGGCACTTTAATTACTTTGAGATAAAGTTAAAGAGTTGTTTAGGAGTTTTTAAAAACATATCCACAATTCTTTGGAAGCATAAATGACAAAGCAATTAAACTAGGAAAGTGGTGTTGTCTTTAAATAAGATTTGTTTTTTAACAATACACCCCACTTTTTTTTACGAAACATTAATGACAAAATTATTAATTCTATATATAATGCAGGGATCTTAATTGGCTAATTATAGTCGGCTTCAGTCAATTGATTAAATGATTGATAAAAAAAAAAGAACTGGCCACTATGGTATCATAAATCAATCTCCTTTCAGCTGAATTCTACTATAATGCATAGAAATATTTGTCCAAATTAGTCTGAGCCAGAATACCATTTATCCTGTTAAAAAAAGGCTGTTCAGTTAGCGGGCAACCCATTGCTTAGTGTTATTTATTTACAAACAACGGAAAATTTTGTCAGGTTGTTGCATGTTTTGAAAACTAGAAACAATGATGTTATGTTGTTAGCTATGATTATTTTTAAACCTATGATTTTGTTTTCAAGACAGACTTGTCAATCAAATAATATAGTATGTAAATATGTAATAACATAAAATAGAATTTTATATAAATAATTATAATGTTAAAATTGGGTCAATACAATCAGATTAAAATACAGATCATATCATTCTTTGTGTTGCTTCTGTTCAGTGTTTGGGGAGCCATGTTGGGTAATGGGCTGGTATCTTATACTGGATGTTCTGTGTTCAGTCCTGGCAGGATGGTTGGTTGGGGGGGGGGCCGAATGGTTAACATGTGTGCGCTGTATCATAAGGTCTGTCATTAAGTCATCCCCGGTTTTGGAGAGAACGTATATAGGCGTTTGCCTGTTGTTCAATCCATTTCAGTTTATTGAATAAAATATTGTTTAAACTATCCCCGGTTGTACGTGACAAGGTGACAATGGCAAGGAGTAGGGTCCCCTGTCCAATCTCGTGGGTTTTCTCTCCGGGTCCTTCAGTTTCCTCCCACTGCTAAAGATCCCTACGTGCAAGTGAATTATTGAAATAAAATTGAACCTTATGTTAGTCGCAAAATGACCTAGTTTAACCCCATTTCTCTCTCTCAGTCCTGGCTGGACTGGTGTTGGCCGAGATATTATCCTGTGTTCATTTTGATGAAATGGAAATACAAGATGCTGTGTAGAAATAAAACACTCCATGGAGTGGTGTTTCTCAACTAGTGTGCCGCGAAATTTTGAACAGCACACTAAGAAAATGTGAAAAACCATGTGATCCCAACTGAATATTTACTGGTGTCAACTGATAAGTTCATAGCAGTGTTTGAGTCATTCTATGTGTCTATGACTAGTCTCTGTCTACTGTTGTATTCCATCTTGACTTACCACGTTTTTATTTTGCAAAATTCAAATATTTTTCATATATATTTAGCCAAGTGTGCCATGGAGTATGCCCTTAATCATTAGCTTAGTTGGTGCAGACTTTGAACAGAACTTTGAACACCATTTCATTTCAAATTCATCAGGATGGAAATTTGATCGGATTGTCACAGATCCTATAAATTATGTGAGAATGTTAATTATTAAATAGCTGTTACAACTTTCCATCATGCTGTCTGAGTTACATGATTTATGGTATCCAAGCCATTTAATTTATTCAGAAATCATGGGTGTAGGTAAACATACAATTTAGATGTACTTAAAGGGCATGTAGCTTTATTCTTTGGAACTAATTTTCTGCTGTGACAGGGCTAATGCCATACAGTGTGCTATGAGGGAAATTTTGCCCAGGCAGCGGCACTATGGCCTACTCTTATATCAAATTTTAACTGCCAAGGGATCTTTTACGTGCATGCCAATGTATACACGGGACCTTGGTCTAAAGCACATATTAATGTAATATGAATGTGTAAGAACTGATTTATATTTTTACATGCCTATACTGTAGTGTGAATTAATATGTTGTCGCCCATATCCAACTGTCCACACGTCCATGTGAACAGCTGCCTCTCTCAAATTAAATTCGAAGTGATAAGAAACTTGGATGATCATTCTATTGACTGTAACCTCTCTAGAAGGTAGTCCGTTACATTTTAAAGAGTTAAAAAGAATTAGACCAAATTCCAGCTCCATCCTTTATTATCCAGGGCCGGGTTTTGTGGCCGAATGGTTAAAACGTGTGCGCTAGATCCCAAGGTCTGTCATTGATACATGTTGCATGGTTTCAATTCCCCGTTTGCATGTTGGATCACAAGGTCTGTCATTGAGTCAAGTGGTGTGGTTTCGATTCCCCATTTGTACGTGACAAGGAGTAGGAGGGCCTGTCCAACTTTGTGGGGTTACTCCGGGTCCTCCAGCTTCCTCCCACTTCTTAAGACCCCTACATGCTAGCTAATTATTGAAATAAATTGAACCATATGTTAGTCTCTTTTATTATCCAAGGCAGTACCATGATATCCTGTCTTTTACATCTAAAGAAAAACAACAACCAAGTATTTTCTAAAAAACTTTATTTTGTAAAGGACAATATTTCTAAAGATCAAAACAAATAATATTTAGACTACATGCTGTCACCCAGGCAACCAAATGCTGCGTCTACAATATTTGTACAGCCTCTATCGGTGATTGACTTCTAAATATAGGACAAGGTTTACTGTGCGCTTGTTTTCTTAAAACAAAATTTTAAAGAGTAAATTATGAATATCACTAGAAATAAAACTGTTTAATCTTTGACAAGAATTATAATATAAATAATTTGATAAATAAGGTATTATAGCACTAAGTGTTCCATACCTGCGTCCCCCTAAAAATCCAAAAACATTAACAATATAAAACCATTAGGTATTATAGCACTAAGTGTTCCATAACTGCGTCCCCCCAAAAAATCCAACAACATCAACAATATAAAACAATTTCAGTAAAAAAGCAGGACATCGATGTACAATTGTCCAAGGAACATGCATGCCAAATTGTTATTTTTATAGTACTTGAATTGGCAGTCTTTGGCTTTCTTTCAAATAACCTCGAACCCACCACCAAAAAATGTGTACAAAATGAGTAGCATTTGGGTTCCAGTTCCTGGGCCCTTATTCCCGAAAACTTAAACTAAGATACAATCGAAATTTTAAGAAATACTGCAATTCGATTGACTGACCAGTAAAATCAATTTGCATAAATCCAATTTGCATATTGTTCAGCCAATCGAATTGCAGTATTTCTTAAAATTTCGATTGTATCTTAGTTTAAGTTTTCGTGAATAAGGGCCCTGATGACATAGTGTATATCAAAGTCTTTAAAATACTTCATTAATTAATATCATATATGCACATACTGCCACATACATGGACATATTCTTATCCAAAAGGAAGGATATTCATAAATGTTTTTACAATAAAGATTGTCCTTGCTAACTGATATTTTGCCCGAAAAAAAAACCCCTTTCTTTTGTGATGGTAAAAAGTTATATATTTGCAAACTGCATACAAAAATATAATTGCTGATAATTAAAATGGCGGTAATCCAGTTTTATATCTAATAACCATAGAAACAATCTAAATATCTCGTAAAATATAATTGTAAAGGATTACAAATTCCCAAATAAGGTTATAACCTATATACATCATGTTTAAATGACTGAGAGGATATCCTTAGCGGCACTGCATGATAACCCGGTTCCATCTGGTTCAACTTGTAGAGCTGTCACTTTACCATCTGTTACAACCATTGCGTATCTAAAAAAGATGAAATAGCATTTATAGTAGAAGCATGGACAGGGAAACGGACATCACATCATCACAGCCATCTATTGTGACATCATATCATAAATCAAAGGAAGTCAATCAACGTGCAATTGTCCAATGAACAAGCGTGCTAAGTTTCAAGTCGAACATACCTGAACTGGCGGAGAGAGAGAGAGAAATGGGGTTTAAGGTCCACTAGACACAAACTAGGTCATTTCGGGACTAATACATGGTTCAATTTTATTTCAATAATTTACTTGCACGGTAGGGGTCTTTAGCAGTGGGAGGAAACTGGATGACCTGGAAAAAACCAATGAGGTTGGACAGACAACCCTACTCCTTGTCACGTCTGAACTGGGTCTTAGACATCGCCCCAAAAACAAGTACAAGGACGATCAGTGCTTGGGGCCAATTCACTCAAGGTTGTTTAAACCTCTCTCAATACAACAGGTGTAATATTTTTAATTCTTTTAAATATGTAATTTAATAACAGGGAAAGAGAGAGAGAGAAACCAGGTCATTTCGGGACTACCATATGGTTTAATTTTATTTCAATAATTTACTTGTGCATAGGGGTCTTTAGCAGTAAAAAACCCACTAGGTTGAATAGGCGTCAGGCGACCCTACTCCTTGTCACGTACAACCGGGGATTCAAAACCACACCAGTTGACTCAAAGATAGGCCTTATGATAAAGCGCGCCTGTGCTAACCATTCGGCCATCCCCCCCCCCCCCCAATATAATAAGAAAAAAATTGAAATTAAATGAAATGGGTTTAACATTCTACTGTTCTGCTACGACTAGGCTAGAATACAGGATTATGCCATGAGAGAAATTTTACCCAGGCAGCGGAGCTACGGCCTACTCTTAAATCGAATTCCAACTACCAAGGGATCTTTTATGTGCACATAAATGCATACACAGGACATTGGTTTTCCATCCCATCTTAACAAGTATACGTTTTCCCTTGTCAGGCCCTCTGTCCTGCACCACTGACAAGGGGGAACCACGCCAAAATATCCTGATGGACTTTCTCAGCTAATGCAGGGAACGGACATGAGATCTCAAGAAAATAAACTTTTAAGAATTATTCATTTTCAAATATGAAATGAAAACATATAGCACCGCCTGATAGTGAATATATGCCTACCAGCAGTATTTTGAGGGGTTGCTTCAAAGTTAACAGGGGCAATAACTATATATAAAATTGATTAGAACGTCAGAAATTTGGATTGAACAAACAATCCCAGAAAGTTTTGTAGTGAGTGTTTTATAGAAAAAGGGGATCATAGACCAAAAGGGGAAAAACGCTAATTTCCTTAGCAACGACTTGCATCAGTAATGAAAGTCTGCTCTCTATCAGTAATACAAAATCAACAAACTGCATAATTTGGACCAGACCTGGTTGGTAAATCAAACCAGAACACAAAAGGTTCAGTGCTTTAGCATGGCATGAACAATGGAGCTAAACCTCTAAATTAATACTTTGTATAATTGTCGAAATTAAAACACAAATTTGAATTCAGTATTGGTCTAATTTAATCAATACTGATGTTATCTTTCTGTGAAAATATGGGATCCTAATATCCAATATTTAAGACACCATGAACATTTTATAACTAGTAAACGAGTTGTGTATTCTTTGGTTTAAAAAAATGCAGAAGTAATTAGTAATGGCTTATTCACAAATGACAAAATAATAATTAAAAAATGGGGACAAAATAATAATAAAATATATGTGTAGAATTGACTAAGCAAGCGTAACGACTGTCGTTCAAATTAGACTATGCATGTATTTCACCATATTCCTGAAGCAATGGCCCGAGAAATCCCTCTCTGGCCATTGCTGGATTAGCTTCTGATACTTGCGCTTTTGAGGGAGTGTGTCTATTCTTCCCGTTCAATCAAATCTATCCAAAAGCACAGCAACATGACAGCCCTTCTTTTAATCTGGGGCCTTTCCTAAAACTTTGGACAGTGATTTAAGGTATTAAAAGCGGTGAAAGTATTGCTCGTCTCAAAACAATATTGTTTACATGATATACACAGTTTAAAAATCGTGCTGACAGTTGATAGCCTTGTTTGTCACACAATTAGTTTTTCTGCAATATTCTGCTATGCACTGGTTAATTGGGAATATTAAAATCGTGCGTCATGACGTAACGTTATGTAAACATATTTGGTCCAATGTGGAGCTATGTTTAAATCGTAATGATATTGTTACGCAGTATGCTATTGGTTGTTAATCGGACTATTGACCAGTCATAATTTAGAACAAGAATGTGCACTCTGTACAGCAGTGAGTAGTGGGATTAGTTCTAATCAAACGAAACACTGCGAGGAGTATGGTATTTCACTGAACATAATTGATTAGAAATTTCAATAAGTTTTTCAAAAATTGGATATAAATTACTTTATATCCATTCATATAACATTAATTTATGCTCTTAGAACCACTTCCAAAGATTAGAGCAATACACCATTTAAGTGAGAATTTTAAAGGAACGAAGACCATGTATACAGAAGGATGGTATATACAGTCTAACTTCTTGCTTGCTATCAGATTAACAATAGCACTAATTACTATGATTACCGTCTGAATATTGATTCATTTGGTTTAGATTTAGATGTTATTTTCATTTTTGTTAAGTTACAATTGCATTTAAATTAAGTCTTGCTCATTCAAATTATCTCTGTTTAGACTAAGTGGAAAATACCCATTACTGAAGTCACTCAAGACATGTATCTAATCAACACCTACACCAAATTTCAACATTTTACCTCAAGTAGAAACAGTTATTGTGTTCCAAAGTCTTGAAAAAAAAAAAATGAATTGCTTAACTTTGCTTATCTGAATGAGAAAATGCTCATCATTGAACTCTGTCAAGACATTCACCTAATGAACTTTACACCAAGTTAGAACATTATATCTCAACTACAAGCAGGTTATTGTGTTCCAAAGATAGACAAACCCATTTCAACAGTCCTCAGCAAAGGGGTGGGTGACAACAAATGGAATGATAGAAGAAATAATAAAACAGCAAGAAGCAAAACATTGCAATCTGATTCAAATACAGATCTATATTTCGTTTCGTTTTTTTATACTTTCGATGGCCTACACTACATGAAGATGTGACCGGTTGTAGTGATAGGTCACGTCAGGGGTCAAAAGACCGACTTATGACCCTATGACGTCAGACATTTGATTAACCAATCAGCATTGATGTTACTAGTGGATTACCCACAGTTCCGTGAAAAACACGCCTAAAGCTCGCCGTAACAGATCGTTTCATTGGCTTATCCCTTACACCATTCAGAACACAAGTTAAATAACAACTCTTCCAGATCCAAGTGTAGTAAAGACAAGTAAAACGAAATTTTGAACTATAAAAACGGAACGAAATAGGATCTGTGTTTTAACCAGATTGCAAAACATTAGTAACTGAATATATTTTGAAATCAAGAATAATACAAAATGGTGTGAAAGAGGAATGTGAGAAAACTAAATATTAAATAATAATATGAATTATGAGAGCTATCTAAAACTACAGGTGCTACACTTAATTAATTTCTTGGTTTACCTTTTAGATCGAACGCTTCCTAATACTGCTGCCAAATCAACAGTTAGGTCAACTTTCTGAAATCACAAAAACAAAGTTATATTTTACCCGTACCTCTGAGAGCGAAGACCACCCAATCGAACTGTTCTATCCACTGTCAGTCCTACTGTCTGAAATTTTAAAATGCTTATTTAATAAATTAAGTGTCAGCTAAAAAGAGACAAAAAAGTTGTATAAACAATTTTCCAGGAAGATAAGTTTCTTACAAACTACACCCTAGTTTAAATCATACCTTATCGCTGGGATTTTCACCTGGGAGAGAGAGAGAGAGAGAGAGAAAGAGAGAGAGGGTTTAGGGTCCACTGGACACACACTAGGTCATTTCAGGACTAACACATGGTTCAATTTTATTTCAATAATTCGCTTGCGCGTAGGGGTCTTTAGCAGTGAGAGGAGAACTGAAGGACCCGGAGAAAACCCACGAGGTTCGACAGACAACCCTATTTCTTGTCATGTACAACCGGGGATTCGAAACCACGCCAGTTGACTCAATGACAGGCCTTATGATACAGCGCTCACCTGCTAACCATTCGGCCTTCCAACCCCCCTTCTTCCGAAGGACAGTCACTAATAATACATGTAGACTATGTGTGAAACTTTCAACCAAAATTTACGATCCCCAGTCAATCTGATCAGTTCAGAATCAACCCGCTTTTCTCCCGGATTCTGAGCTTGGTACCCATCGTTTTAAATTCCAACATTCCTGGGACTAATTTTTTAGTTTATGGTTAAAGAGACATTATGGCAGATTAGATAAAGAGCTGACAGTTCTCGCTATAATAGTTAGAAAATAGATAATGAAAGGAGAATATGCTGAAAACTTCAGACAAGTTGCTCCACTCTGAACCGAGATATTAGCGATTGAATTTTAGGCCTAGTCTCGATCATCATTACTAAAGTCAGTACGATAAAAAACAATATTTCGATTATCCATTTTGACGTTGAATCATCCATCACAAAATGTATTCAAATGCAGTAAAGATGGCATCGACAGTTGAATATGGTCTGGATAAGTTAATAAATGTCTAATTAATAACTTTGGTAACATTCCAGGGATAAAGAAAGACCTGCAATAGGCAGATTTACCTCTTGCATAATGTATGTTTAATTGTTTGTTTTTTAATATCTATAAAATTGATTAAATATCATATCTATTCTATGCTGATTCATACGCAGCTTACCTTAGAAAAGTCTCCACAAGTATCTGCCAACATTCTAATCTGAAAAATCAAAGCGAAATGGAATGAAATGGGGTTTAATGTCTTACTGTTCTGTTCCTAAACTGGGCTAATGAAGACGGGAATATGCCATACAGTGTGCTATGAGGGAAATTTTGCCATGGCAGCGACGCTACAGCCTACTCTTATATCGAATTCCAACTGCCAAGGGATCTTTTACGAGCACGCCAATATGTACACAGGACCTCGGTTTTCCGTCCCATCCGAACAACAAGACAGCTGTCCTTGTCAGGCCCTCCGTCCTGCATCAATGACAAGGGGGAAACCACGAAAAATCAAAGCAAAAGATTTAATCAGGGTAGGAGACATCAAACCAAATGTTTTTTTTAGTTTCACCAGGCCCTTCCATTCTGCACCACAGAAACCAAGCCGACATATCTTGAAAGTGAAGATTACATTGCCTACCTTTCCATCAGCATTCAGATTTTTACCCCAAGCTGCCATGACGAAAGGATCATTGACTGAAATACATACTACACGATCCACACCTTTAGACTTGAACTTCTCAAAATTTTCTAAATAACCTGGTAGATGATCCTTAAATAGACAAAAAATATAGTCAAAGATTCTTAAAGTAGCTAAGTCTCTAACTTAATATCATCCAAAATCTTCCACATTGAAAACAAGAATTATTTGTCAGTTTAAATCAACATTGATGTTGTGATCTTACCGAGAAAAGATGTGCTTCTGATATCCAATAATTAAGACAAAATAAACATTTTACCATTTGTACACGAATCGTGTACCATAGTGCATTTCAGCGCAATTTGTAACAAGGGACTCGGAGAACGAGGCTAGATATATTCCACAAGTCATGTCAAACGGTGGCCTCATATTCTTATCTGGAGAGCATGCGCAATAAATACTATCGGTATAGAGTGGAATATCCAGACTCTAGAGATTGCCATTGGATTGAGACTTCTGGCGTATTTCTCCGAACTTAACTGATCAGAAATTACAGTAAAAACAGAAATGATTGAACTAAATTAGTGTATATATACATTCATATTACATTATTATATGGGTTGCTACCCATTTGTGTCAATTTCTAGATCCAAAATATTAGCGATTTAGCTCCTTTAAATAAGACAGAAAACATTGTAGATGATCCTTAATTAGACAGAGAATAAGCATTATGTAAGATTCGATAAAGAGCTGACCTTTCTTGCTATAATAGTTCAAAATAGATAATGAAAAGCAAATAATGAAAATTTAATTCAAATAACTTTATTCTGGATGAATTTATAACTGTTTGAAGATTCAGTGTTGATTGTTTATTATCCTAGCAATGGTACTTGACAACCGTGACTAGGTCTCGATTATCTATATTATCATTAAATTTGTAAATCTCGCAGATTTCAAATCCATTAAAATCATGGCCGCCGGATGGTTTTGACAGTTGATTATAGGCTTGTCATGTGAATAAATTTCTAAATAATAATTTATGTAAGATTTGAATCCAGAAAATAGACAGCCAGCAATAGGCAGATTTATCTTTTGTGTCATACATCTTTAAAGCGATAATTTCATATTTTCTAAGAAAGTCAAAAAATAATTATTTCTGTCTTTTGCTCAATAGGTTGTCAATATAGGTATTATTCTCGATCTTAAAAATCCTTTGACCCCGGAAATAATAACACAATTACCTCCCTTGTTTTTCTATTCTCCCCCCCCCCCCCATGGAATAGCTCTCTTCAAACTTTGAATTTGAAATTGAAAATGATATTTTTGCCAATTTCTCAACTGGCAATAGCGAATTATAGGATTAATTGGAGAGAGAGAGAGAGAAATGGGGTTTAACGTCCACTCGACACAAACTAAGTCATTTTGGGACTAACATATGGTTTCATTTTATTTCAATAATTCGTGTGCGCGTAGGGGTCTTTAGCAGTGGGAGGAAACCGGAGGACCCGGAGAAAACCCACGAAGTTGGACAGGCGACCCTACTCATTGTCACTTACAACCGGGGAGTCGAAACCACGCCAGTTGACTCAATGCACATGCTAACCATTCGGCCATCCAACCCCCCAGGATTAATTGGATTATTCTTTAACAAGGTAGGACTCTTTATAGATACCATCTATTTCATGGCTTTATTTTAATAAATTTCAAAAATTGCAACTTTAAGCTGTAAAGAGCCATAATTCATATTATGTTTCTAAACAATGTAAACATTGGACACAACTTGAGATATTATATGGCTATTTTAAGAGGCATTAAATCTTTCAAGTAAATAAATAGTTGATTTTAGAGAGAGAAAGAGAAATGGGGATTAACGCCCACTTGACACAAACTAGTGACTTAAAACTACTCTATTCTAATACAGTCTTGTCAATTCTTTTTTAAATAATGGTGGGATATTACTTCCAATGGGTGGAAGAGAGAGAGAAATGGGGTTTAACGTCCACTCGACACAAACTAGGTCATTTCAGGACTAACACATGGTTCAATTTTATTTCAATAATTCGCTTGCGCGTAGGGGTCTTTAGCTGTGGGAGGAAACCGGAGGACCGGAAGATAACCCACGAGGTTGGACAGGCGACCCTACTCCTTGTCACGTACAACTGGGGAATCGAAACCATGCCAGTTGACTCAATGACAGACCGTATGATACAGCGCGCGTGTTAACCATTCGGCTATCCAACCCCCCCAATGGGTGGAAGAATCTACCAAATTAACCTACTTCTAATACTGTCTTGTCAATTCTGTTTTAAATAATGTTGGGATATTACTTCCAATGGGGGGAGGAATCTACTAATTTAACCTACTTCTAACACTTTTTTAAATAATGGTAGGATATTACTTCCAGTGCCTGCCAATGGGTGGAAGAATCTACTGAATTAAACTACTTCTAATACTGTCTTGTCAAGTTTGTATCATTTAATCTTGTGTATTTAGCACTTATATTAAATGAATAGTAATATACACTGTAACCTGGGTATCATTTAATCTTGTGTATTTAGCACTTATATTAAATGAATAGTAATATACACGGTAACCTGGGTATCATTTAATCTTGTGTATTTAGTATTGTTTAATGGTCGAGAGCGAGACATTAAGTAATATATTGTAACAACATGAGGGCCGTAGGCCCGAATGTTTTTACAATATATTACGCAATGTCGTAAGCTCGAGACCATTAAACATCTTAAAATACTGACACTCCGCATGAGCTTTTACGTCACACTAGTCCAATATCTCACTGGTATGAATAAAGTACTATTGGCAAGTTGCCCGTACGATTATTTGAAATAATGGTACGCCAATATCAAAGGGTGACGTCACATCTGTATTTTAAGCACTTATATTAAATGAATAGTAATATACACTGTAACCTGGGTATCATTTAATCTTGTGTATTTAGCACCGATATTAAAATTAATGCTAAATACACAAGATTAAATGATACCCGGGTTACATTGTATATTACTACTGAATTAAAACTACTCTTCTTCTTCTCGTAAAGTTTGTTGCTTAAGGAACATTATAATATACTTTTTGAATGTTTTTTTTTAAAAATAATGGTTGTATTGTTACTTTATGAATATTCTCACCTTACTACATGTTGGAGTAAAAGCACCAGGAACTGCAAATATAACACTTTTACCCTTGGCAAACAATTCACCAGTATTGACTTTAGAACCTGGATCACCTTCAAATAAATCCACAGATGGTATTGGGTTTCCTACCTGTAAAATATACAACAATTTTATATATATGTAAAATATACAACAATTTTATATGTATAGAGGGAGAGTCTCCAACTTGTAAAACATACAACTTGTAAAACATACAACAATTTTATATGTATAGAGAGAGAGTTTCCAACCTGTAAAATATACAACAAATTTATATATATATATATATATAGAGAGAGAGTCTCCAACTTGTAAAACATACAACAATTTTATATGTATATATAGAGAGAGTTTCCAACCTGTAAAATATAACCATTTCATATACATGTATAGATAAAGTTTCCAGTCTGTAAAATAAACAACAATTTTATATGTATATATAGAGAGAGTCTCCAACTTGTAAAACATACAACAATTTTATATGTATATATAGAGAGAGTTTCCAACCTGTAAAATATACAACAATTTTATATACATGTAAATAACATTAAACTTTTTTATATGTTTGGAGAGAACCTATATAGTCCTTTGCCTGTTGTTCAATCCATTTCAGTTTATTGAATAAAATATTGTTTAAACTAATAAAACATAAAACAATCCTATATATATATAGAGAGAGTTTCAAGCCTGTAAAATATACAATAATTTTATATATATATTGTAAAATATACAATATGGTAAATTATATTTCACTAATCCACTTGCTTGTACAGATCTTCAGCTGTGAAAGGAAACCAATCATACATGTAAGACACAAATTATAATATATACTATATACTGTGTGTGATAATTGGTCTGATAATGTCTGTGACATCTCCATGTTCGTATACTGGTATATACGTTGTGGTGATAATTTGTATTAATCAAAATAGCTTTGAGTTTATCCCAATGATGAGCCTATTAAAGTTTATCCTAATGAAATGCATATTAGAGTTTATCCCTATTTGAGTACAAAATCAACCTATTGATAATCAGTGTGTCAGAACTTCTTTGAGTGGAATTTAGAGAGAGAGAGAGAGAGAAATGGGGTTTAACGTCCACTCAACACAAACTAGGTCATTTCGGGACTAACATATGGTTTAATTTTATTTCAATAATTCGCTTGCGCGTAGGGGTCCTTAGCAGTGGGAGGAAACCGGACGACCCGGAGAAAACCCATGAGGTTTGACAGGCGACCCTACTCCTTGCCACGTACAACCGGGGATTCGAAACCACGCCAGTCGACTCAATGACAGACTTTATTATACAGCGCGCACACGCTAACCATTCAGCCCCCCCCCCCCCCCAATGAAGATTGCATAAGCCATGTAGTGTGCTACAAGGAAAATTTCTGTTGTCAAGGGATGCATGACATCAGTTTCTTTCAACTCACGCTGTCCTTGCTAGGCCATCTGCCCTGCCTCACTGATAAATAACTTTATCGACCAACACTGGGAGCAGACCCTGAGACCCCCTGGCCAGAGATCCAATGCCTTATGCACTGAACCACTGCTGCTGCCTTTACAAACTGCCCAGCAATTTTTCTAAAACAATACCTTTGTCAGTCAAACAAAAATAACCAGTTTACATGGAATTCAATCATTAATTAATTATTCATGCAGCAATAATTAAGAATCTTTATTAGCCTGATTACTAATCAATACAAAATGAAATAACATGATTGACTGATGGATAAACTGTTGTCATGGCAATACAATTAGTGGTTCTTTCAAATAGTTGATTAATCAAAAGGCCTACTAATTACTTACTCGGAATAATATAATGCTTACCCGTTAATTTGATAGATAAATATGAACACATTTGTAACCCCACTGTGTGTTTTATTAGTTAACTGCCCTAGTGATTGTGTGTAGGCTATTGCACGCCAGTAAATCTGGGTGAACTTTCTTGGCCAATGCAGGGATTGAGCCAGTGTCTTACCCAACATGACCTCCCTCTCCCGCACTTCTAGTATAAAAGCACTAATAAATATTACAGTACATATATGTATCTGAAATAACTACTTTGATCTGTTGTGACAAACATTTCATTTTATAAATTTTATTTGTTCATAAGTCAATTGTTCATTTCACTAGTTATAAGTGCACAATAAGATAAGATATTTATTGCATCAAAATGTCCATTAAGGACAGCATGCATTAAAGTACATGTAAATGTATATAATATGATACACCCAGATGTCTTATAGAAGACAAGAAATAAACTTGAATGAATACATATTTAATAAGAGTAAACTAGTGATTGTTTCCCATAAAAAAAAAACCGTGTTTCTCAATCGCTAAATGCCACTTAAAGATTACATATATATACAGGCCTATGTGTCAGATGTCAACGGGGCAGGTCCAGGAATTTTTGCAGGAGGGGGGGGTGCCAGGCTCTTGTTATTTAATGGAAATTTGACAGTTGACAAGGCATGATGCCACCATCTTGTACACATTGAGCTTTTTAAAGAGAGAAATCCAACACCCCGTTTGACATCAATATTTATAATAAATTAATAGGATCACACTTTGATTCAATTTCATTGATACAAAGCATTAAATTTTGTGATATCGAGAGAGAGAGAAATGGGGTTTAATGTCCACTCGACACAAACTAGGTCATTTCGGGACTAACAGGTTTCAATTTTTATTTCAATAATTCGCTTGCACGTAGGGGTCTTTAGCAGTGGTAGGAAAACCGGAGGAAACCCACGAGGTTGGACAGGCGACCCTACTCCTTGTCACGTACAACTGTACTACAACTGGGGAATCCAAACCCCACCAGTTGACTCAATGACAGACCTTATGAAACAGCGCGCATGCTAACCATTCGGCCATCCAATCGTCCAATTGTGATTTCAATCGTCTATATCATTATTTTGCACTTTGATGATAAAGGGAAAAGGGCGCTATTGCACTTTCGTACCTCTACCAGTTCCCGTGGTCGTAGGAACTTGAAATTTTCAGAGGATGTTCAGGGGGACTAGCAATGACCACACACCAAATTTCAGCCGAATTGATCAATAACTTTTTATTTTACCGACCTTTTAATTTCTAACGAGAGAGAGCTTCATCCGTTTGACGCCATTTGCTTTGTTTACTATTTAGACTCGAATAACAAGACACTAAGACGGAAACAGACACACTGCACTAGCTGCCTAACACTGCAGTTCATAAAAATTAATATAATTTTCGTATACTTTAATTTTTGCGCGAAGCCACCATTTTCTATAAAATACTATTTGGTGTTGATCAGTGGATTGGCCTTTAGGTGTGAATATTGCCGTGACCTTGATTTTGACCTTGGGTCCAAACTTCCCATCCATATCGGGGCCTTTGCGTTTATGCTTGCCGTGGCCTTATTTCTTTCTGTATTGTATAAGTTAATGTTCGAGGTGAAAGCAGAGACGACGTCCTTCAGAAAAGATAATTGGGTCAAAGTCGTAGGTCAAGGTCACCTTACAGAAAACTAAACTCAAACTTTTCAAAGTCGTTTTAGGGACATTTGACCTTGACTTACGACCTTGACCCCGTAACCATTTTTGAAGGCTATCACCTTGGCTTGAATCATGGACGTTTACCTTGGTCCTGTCGCACACTGCTCGGTCAGAAAACGGTCAAACGCAGAGGGGCCCGTGTCCGAAAGGAAGTCAATGGGCGTGGTCAATGTGAACGGTCGTGGTGACCTCCACTAGTCACCTGTAACCATCCGTGACCTTGACTTCGACCTTGAGTCCAAACTTCCCATCTATCTCGGGCCCTTTTCGTTTATGCTTACCGTGGCCTTATTTCTAACTGTATTATCAAAGTTAATGTTCGAGGTGAAAGCAGAGATGACGTCTTTCAGAAAAGATAATTGGGTCAAAGTCGTAGGTCAAGGTCATCTTACAGAAAACTAAACTCAAACTTTTCAAAGTCAGTTTTGGGACATTTGACCTTGACTTACGACCTTGACCCCGTAACCATTTTCGAAGGCTATAACCTTGGCTTGAATCATGGACGTTTACCTTGATCCTGCCGCACACTGCTCGGTCAGAAAACGGTCAAACGCAGAGGGGCCCGTGTCCGAAAGGAAGTCAATGGGCGTGGTCAATGTGAACGGTCGTGGTGACCTCCACTAGTCACCTGTAACCATCCGTGACCTTGACTTCGACCTTGAGTCCAAACTTCCCATCTATCTCGGGCCCTTTTAGTTTATGCTTGCCGTGACCCTATTTCTTACTGTATTATCAAAGTTAATGCTTGAGGTGAAAGCAGAGAAAACGTCCTCCCGAAAAGATAATTGGGTCAAAGTCGTAGGTCAAGGTCATCTTACAGAAAACTAAACTCAAACTTTTCAAAGTCAGTTTTGGGACATTTGACCTTGACTTACGACCTTGACCCCGTAACCATTTTCGAAGGCTATCACCTTGCCTTGAACCATCGACGTTTACTTTGTTCCTGTCGCACACTGTTCGGTCAGAAAAGGGTCAAACGCAAAGGGCCCGTGTCCGAAAGGAAGTCAATGGGCGTGGTCAATGTGAAAGGTCGTGGTGACCTCCACTAGTCACCTGTAACCATCCGTGACCTTGACTTCGACCTTGAGTCCAAACTTCCCATCTGTCTCGGGCCCTTTTCGTTTATGCTTGCCGTGGCCTTATTTCTAACTGTATTATCAAAGTTAATGTTCGAGGTGAAAGCAGAGATGACGTCTTTCAGAAAAGATAATTGGGTCAAAGTCGTAGGTCAAGGTCATCTTACAGAAAACTAAACTCAAACTTTTCAAAGTCATTTTTGGGACATTTGACCTTGACTTACGACCTTGACCCCGTAACCATTTTTTAAGGCTATCACCTTGGCTTGAATCATGGACGTTTACCTTGGTCCTGTCGCACACTGCTCGGTCAGAAAACGGTCAAACGCAGAGGGGCCCGTGTCCGAAAGAAAGTCAATGGGCGTGGTCAATGTGAAAGGTCGTGGTGACCACCACTAGTCACCTGTAACCATCCATGACCATGACTCTGACCTTGAGTCCAAACGTCCCATCCATATCGGGGCCTTTGCGTTTATGCTTGCCGTGGCCTTATTTAT